GTGTGTTCAGCAGGATGAAGCAGCAGCAGAAGTCGGTTTCGGATAAATCGTCTCAGATTCTCTCCAAGTCAGAAATATCTCTGTGAGTTCATCAGATTTATATTTATTGTTTATTTTTATGATTCTTTCCTTCGAGACTCTGAACATGAAACTAACAGTTTTATATATTTTGTGTACTTATAAATATAACATAATATAATAATTCAGAACAATGACTCACCTTTAAGGTTTTTATATTTGGTTATAAATAGAACAGTCAGGACATTTTATCACAACATTAGTAAAGTTATTACACTTTTGGGTTTTATTTTTAGGAAATCATAACTTTATTTAAAACAAAGCTGCTTTACAGTAAAAACAAATGATAAAAATACAAATAAATAATAAAATAATGACGTTAGTGTTAACCTGTGTTCTGTAACTTCAATATAGGTGTATTTTTTATTTATTATTATTTTCTATCTTTTCTTTCTTTAAAGACTTTAACAAAGTTTATCACTTCTTTTTCACCAATGATGTTCTGCTTTTCATCTAAACATCTCCTCCTCTTCTTCTTCTTCCTCCTCCTCCTCCTCTTCTTCCTCCTCCTCCTCCTCCTCCTCCTTCTTCCTCCTCCTTCCTCCTCCTCCTCCTCCTCCTCCTCTCTCATGTCTCCAGGTTCAGAAACAGTCTAAAGCAGAACATCTGTGTGGAGCTGCTTCAAGATGGCTTCCACAGGTGTGTCTCTGTATATACCGTATGTTGTTCCTCCGTCTCACACATCAACACACACACACAACAGTCGGTTCTCTGTCGGTTCTCCGCAGGTCGTTCTCGGAGATCTTCTCTCTGCTGAGCTCTGATGTGGATCGGAGGGCGGCGAGTGAACCGGGTTCAGCCGTCGCCCTCCAGACCCCTCTGGAGGAGCAGTGGGACAAACTGGAGACCATGAGGCTGCACCTGAGGAGGGCCGAGCAGGCCGAGGACACCGGTACACTAACTACAGCCACTGTGATGTGTATTCACAGGAGACAGTTAGTGTATTTAATGGAAAAGTGTGTGTGTGTGTGTGTGTGTGTGTGTGTGTGTGTGTGTG